ATAATATTATTATTACACTATATATATACTTTTCATATAAATAAACTTTATATAAACAAATTATAAAACTCTTTTTTTCTTTTATACTTTATAAATATAGTATTTTATTAATTAATCTATATTCCAATTGTTTTTTTTTTTTTTTTTTTTTTTTTATTTTTTACTTTTTTCGTTTGTTAATAAATGGGCTGTATTAAAAAACCAATATAAACTAATAAATTATAATTTAATATAATAAAACAGTAATTATTATATTTCAATTCAAATCTTTTTTTTAATAATAATACATATATAAAAAATAAATAAATCAAACTATGGAAAATAATATTTATAATAATAAAGAATATATTATATATTCATTTATAAATAGAGAAATAGAGGAAATAAACCAGGTAAGATTTATTATTAATTATATATTAAAAAAATTTATAAATTTTAATCAATTTTTTTTTAATCAAATATTCAGGAAGTAGAAGTAGAGTATTCAGAGAACAGTAATCCTGTAGATGAAAATGATGAATCGATGCTTGATAGTTTTATAGAACAACAGAATATATTACAACAACAACATATATTACAGCAACAACAACAAGGTCAACTACAAAATGAAGAAATGAACTACGAAATTGAATCTGATGATGAAATGATTGTTCAACAAAATATAAACTTTTTAGATAATGACAATACTATTATAAATTACCATAATAATCCAAATAATCATAGTTATAATCACACTGAAATTAATAACAATAATAATAATATTAATAATAATAATAATAGTAATAATAATAATAGTAATAATAACAATAATAATAATACCTTGTTTTTTGGTAATAGCAAAAGAAGAAATAGCATCGAAAATAATAATAGTTATAATAATATCTCATCAAATAAAAAAAGACGAACAATTTACCAATAAAGGTTGTGTATATTAAGATATAATATTTTTATTTTTTTCACTTTTTTTAATTTTTTTTTATATAATTTTTTTTAAATTTTTTTTTTCAAATTTTTTTTAATTTTTTTTTTTAATTTTTTTTTTTGACTTGATGATCAATTTTTTTTTTTATTGAATATAATTTTGTATAAATATAAAACAACAATAAAAAAATGATGATGATCAAATCAATTTTTGTTTCATTTATCATTGCCTCTGTACTCTTAACAAGTGTTTTTGCTGAAGTTGGTGGAAAAAGAACTTTAGTTGTTCTCGAAAACCTTTCACAAAAAAATTTATATTCAACATTTTTTAAAACTTTAGAAAGTAAGTGATGATTATAATTATAAAAATTTTAAAAAAAAACCATCTTATTTTACGACTACTAATCAAAATTAAAATTCAAACAGAGAAAGGTTATGAATTAGATTTCCAACCAGCAACTACCGAAGTTGTTTTAGAAAAATATGGTGACTTTAATTATGATCATTTAGTTTTATTCGCACCAACTTTAGAATCAAAAACTATTACATCAAATGCAGTTTTAAATTTCATTGATGGCGGTAATAATGTTTTAATTGCTGGTTCAAATAAAATTTCAGAAACCATTCGTGATATTGCTCAAGAATGTGGTATGGATATTGAAGAAGATAACACTTTAGTTTATGATCACTTTAACTATGATAAGGTAATTATTATAATTTATTATTGTTATTGTTATTGTTATTGTTTCTAATTGTTATTATCATTGTAAATTTATTTTGTATTCTCAAATATTAATATAAATTATTTAATAGTCACAACCAGATCATTCTTTACTTGTTGCAGATCAATTTATTCAAGATTCACCAATTATTTTACAAGGTTTAGATAAACCAGTTATTTATAAAGGTATTGGACACAAAATTAGATCAAACCCACTCAATTTTGCAGTTTTAACTGGTTCATCTACCGCCTATTCAGGTAAAAAAACCAATGGTGCTTCAACTAAATTAATGGGCAAATCATGTGGTTTAGTTTCATCATTACAAGCTCGTAATAATGCCAGAGTTACTTTTTCAGGTTCAATCGAATTATTCACCGATAAATCATTTGGTACCACTTTAGAAAAGTAAGTATAGATTTATTTATATAAAATACCACCAATCACACTTTTAAAAATGTTCAATTTTACATATATATTAATTTTATAATAATATTAGAAATCAATCAGGTAATAAAGAATTTGTTGAAAATTTAGTTTCATGGACATTCCAAGAAAGAGGTATTCTTAGATCAAGCCAATTAGAATTGGTTAAAATTTCAACTGAATCAAACTCAACTGTTGCCCCAGATGTATTCACAATCAAAGATGAAGTTAGCTATAGCCTCAAAGTTGAAGAATATGATGGCGTTAAAAATGAATGGGTTCCATACGTTTCACAAATCCAACTTGAAGTCATCATGTTAGATCCATATATTCGTACTTTTATTAAAGGTGACTCAAAAGGTATCTACAAGATTAACATTAAACTTCCAGATGTTTATGGTGTTTTCACATTTGAAGCCACCGTTCAAAAACCAGGTTATGGTCAATTAGAACACATTATCCGTAAACCAATCGTCCCATTCCGTCATGACTCATATGAAAGATTCATTCCAGCTGCCTTCCCATATTATGCTGCCTGTTTCTCAATGATTATTGGTACTTTTATTTTTAGTATTATTTTCCTTTTTAACAAAGATCCAAAACACATTCAAATCTAAAAAAATTATTTTTAAAAAAAAAAAAAAAACAATCAAATAATAAATAAAAAAAAAAAAATATATTAAAATAAATAAAAAAGATAATAAATATATTATTATTAAATAAATTCTACAAATAACTTTTATTATTTATTTATTAATTATTTTTTTTTTTTTTTTAATTTTTCCAATTTTTAAATATTTAAAATTTTTTCGTTAGTTTAATTTTTTTTTTTTTTTTTTTTTTTTTTTTTTTTTGATTTTTGACTTTAATTCATTTTCTAAAGATTGTTTCTAAAAAAATGTTACGAAAGGTAATATTTAGTTCTTGTAGAAATCTTCAAAATAATATCAAATTAAATAATGTCTCAGTTTTAAAAAACTATTCAACCGCTCCAAGGTTTGCCACTATCAAAAATGATCGTAATTTGTAAATATATTTTAAAAAAAAACAAAAAAAACAAACAAAAACAAATACTTATATTATATTTTTATTTTTATATTAGCGATTATTTACAAAACAAAATTAGGGATTTTAGAAAAGAAACAGATGAAAATAAGAAAGTGATATATTTTAAACAATTTTTAGAAAAATTACCAGAAGATATACTTGAAACCAATTATACAAAAGATATATTATTTTTAATTACATCATTATTAGAAATGGATAAAATTCAAGAAGCCAGACAAGCATTCGACAAAATTACAAAACAAAAAATGAAAGCTCTAAATTCAACAAAAAATAATGAGAAAATGAGTTATTCAAGAGAAAAAACCGAAAATTTTTGTTTTAAAGAGATAATCAACTATTATTTAAAGAAGGAAGAGTTTGACGAATTAGAGAAATTCTTTGTTGCAAATGCAACATATTACAAATCATTTTTAGAGGGTCAAGATCATTTCAAAGAGTTTCTTTCAAAAATTTCAAATGTGTCATTCAAGAGATTAAGTGATTTGGTCTACATTTTATACGAAAATAATATTATTACATGCAATGCATCCGTCAATATCTTGATTTTCTCAATAGAATATGATCCATCTGGTAATACTTTCAAAAGTTTTTATCAATACCATAAGAACCTTTGGAACCAATTAAATGTCAAACAGTTCTCAGATTTACAACCATTCATTTTAGTCAGAAGAAGAGATAAGATTTTAAACCAAATTTTAGATGATATGTTGGAAGGTTGTGTACCATTAATGGATCTCTCACCAAAATATATCCATAATATGATGAGATTGTTTTTTAGAGTTGAAAAGGATCCAATTCAATTAAAGAAATTAACCGACAAAGTACTCTTGGTCGCTGGACAACAGGATTCAGAATCTATAGCCAACTTATTATTCCTTTATTCTAGTTTCTTCGATTCAAAAGAAGTAGGCAGAGAAGAAAGAATTAATTTGTATACAATGACTAGATTTAATCACGACTTATTAATGCTTCTCCCCGAAGAAACTAGATTGAATGTTGTAAACGATCTCATCAAACTATTGTTAGCTTCAGATCAATACCACAAAGCATTAATCTGGTATTTATCAATGTCAAACTCATTAGGTATTCATCAAAACTATCAATCAACAATTTACTTTATAATCTACCACAAATATCAATTAGAGCTCAACAGAAAAGGCGAAATTTCATTATCAAAAGAAGATATCGAAAAGAATAAAAGCTGTTTAGAGTTTTGGGAAGATATTATTGCTTTTTATCCAGACAACACAATTTCATTCGATGAATATTTTGATAGATATATAAGAAGCAAGGACAGATACACCAAAATTCTTGACAACTCAACCAATTTATCCTCAAGAACAAACAAAGCAAAAGAATATGGCTTTATGTTAGATACTATCAGAAATATTATCTCGCCATCAGATTCTCAATTAAAAATCCTTCTTCAAGAAAGTGCCAAAAACCAAGAATTAGGTGTTGAAATTTATAGAAATTTAGCAGAAAAATATTTTGCCTTTGATGATATTCCTTCTGGTACTCTTTTAATCGAATCAATAATATCAATGAAAAACAGCCCCACCAGTTTAAGCAAACTCGAAAATATACCACTTCAAATTATCAAACCTTTACTTTCAAATAACTCTGATTTACAATTCAAAGAATTAAAGGGATATTATAGGGACGAATTAATCACAGAGCTTTTTGGTGACAAAGAAATCGATAGTGATTCCATCGAATTTAAAAAGAAATTAATATTCAACATGTTTTATTACAAGTTTAATATAAAAATGGCCATCAGCGGCTTAATTGCCTTAATAGAAAGAAAAGTACCAATTAATTTCAGCCTCTTAGAGCAAGCTGTTACTATAGTTTTAGAAAATAAAGGTTCATTCGATAGAGAGATCATCAAAATGCCAACATTATATTCCTTTGTTCAAAAATTCACCAAAAAGAATACATCATACGAAGACGGTTTCTATTTAACCCTCCGAAACTTGATTGATTCTCGTCAATTCGATAAAGCAGACCAATACATCAAAGAATATGAACACTTTAAATCCCTCAAAAATACATATATTGAAAGATCACGTATCATTTTAGAAGAAAACAACCAAAAAACATCAACTGTAGGCAAACTCCAAATTCTTTTTGATGAAATGGTCGCTACTGGTATCTATAAAGACCTTTCTTTTATTTTAAACCCACTCATCAAAAATTTAATTGTCACTTTACCACAAGATCAATTTTCAAAATTTGAAAATAATATTTTATTCTCTTCGCCAATTTTTGACCAATTAACATTCCTCGACAATCAATCAGTTTCAAAATTAATTTACCATAATAGAAACAACTCTTCACAATTAGCAACTTATATGAATAAATGTTTAGGTACTCACACAAAATCCGTTTTATCAAAAGAGCTTCGTTTTAATAAAAATATAACAAGAGAACAAATATATTCAATCTTATTTGAATTAAGAGGCACTGGATTTGGTAATGTTAAGGTTTTATCTAAATCAATAAATAATAATAATAATAATAATAATAATAATACAAGTAATAATTATTAATAGTAATATAAATAGTAATAATAATTAATAACTAAATAAGGTTATTTTCAAAATAAAATTTTTTTTCCTTTTTAAAATTTTTTTTTTTTTTTTTTAATAAACAAACCATTATTTCTATTGTATTTTTATTTTTGTGAAAAATGTCAATCATTTATAAGATATTTATTTAAACAAGACACTTTTAAAAAAAAAAAAAAAAAAAAAGAAAAAAAAAAAAAATTAATTTTTTTTTAATTTTTTTTTTAAAATTTTTTTATTTTTTAAATTTATAAATTTTTATTTTTTTTTTTTCTTCTTTGTTATATTAAATATTAAAAATTTCGCTTCAAAAAAAAAAAAAATAATAATAAATAAACAGAGATAACAATATAATAAATCTTTATTTTAAATAACAGGAAACAATTATAAACAATTATAAAAATTAATAAAACAATAAAAATAGATAAACAAAAAATGAGTATGCCAGGATATCAACCAAATGCCCCAGGGTCATTTGGATCATTATGGAACAGTGGCGGTATTGAAAAATCATCAATGCTTATTGGAAATTACAGGTTAGATAAGACATTAGGTATTGGTTCTTTTGGAAAAGTTAAATGTATGTATAATATAATAGTAATAATAAAAATAAAATAATATATCTATAAGAAAGATAAACCCATTGTATCGTTGCAGTATCAAAAATTAATATTGGTTAATATCTTTTCCTAACAATGGTCTTTTTTTAAACTGAACAGTGGCAGAGCATGTTAAAACTGGTGTAAAGGTCGCAATTAAAATTTTAAATAGAACCAAAATTAAAAACTTAAAGATGGATGAAAAAATTCGAAGAGAAATTCAAAATATGAAGTTATTTAGACACCCACATATTATTAAATTATACGAAGTTATAGAAACAACTACAGATATTTTCATGGTAATGGAATATGTTACTGGTGGAGAGTTATTCGAATATATTGTTAAAAATGGTAAATTATCAGAAGATGAAAGTAGAAGATTATTCCAACAAATGATATCGGGTGTAGATTATTGCCATCATCATATGGTTGTTCATCGTGATTTAAAGCCTGAAAACCTTCTATTGGATCCAGTTAATAAATGTATTAAAATTGCAGATTGTATGTATTAATAAAAAAATTAATAAATAAATAAAGATTATTAATAATTTTCAAAATAGTTGGTCTTAGCAATATGATGCAAGATGGTGATTTTTTAAAAACAAGTTGTGGTTCACCAAATTATGCAGCACCAGAGGTTATTTCCGGTAAACTATATGCAGGCCCAGAAGTAGATGTTTGGTCGTGCGGTGTTATTCTTTATGCATTTTTATGTGCCAAATTACCATTTGACGATGAAAACATACCAATGTTATTTAAAAAAATTAGAGGTAGGTTAAATTATTAATAATCATTAATTTGGTTTATTATATTAATATGTTTTTTTTCAGAGGGTGTTTTTAATATACCAGACTTTGTATCACCAAGTTGTGCAGATTTAATTAGAAAAATGTTGGTAGTTGACCCAGTAAAAAGAGTTACAATTCACGAAATAAGAAACCATCCTTGGTTTCAAGTCAAATTACCAAAATATTTATCATCACCACACACATTTTTATCAAAATCAATTCAAACTATTAATACATCAATTTTAAATGAATTGGTACAAGTAAGTAAAATACATTAAATTAGTTTAGTTCATAGTTATTTTACTAATATTTTATTTTTATTAAAAATTAGGTTTATGCACCAATTGAAAAAGAAAAAATTATTGAAGAATTACAAAAACCAGGAGAGATTAATGACTTTATTGTTAGCTATCATTTACTATTAGACTCAAAAAGAGGTTCATATGAAAACGAAATTAATTCACCAAATTTAATATCACCCCAAAACACACCAACAATGTCAAGTGCTCAAAAGAGCCCAAATCACCATTTAACACCTAATATTGCAGTAGGATCAAATGCCTCATCAAATAGTAATGGTTCTGATACACTTTCGATGAGCCCAAATTTAATAAATAGTAATATAAATGGTAATAATAACAATAATAATAATAATATAAATAGTTTCAATATAGGAAATAATTGTAATGATAATGTAAATATAGCAAATGGTGTAAATATAGATAACAATAATAATGACAGTACCTTAGTTAATGACATTAATGAATTGGAAAGCAATGAAGGTTTAATTTTATTTGCTGATAACGGCCAAACTAATGAATCGAATATAGTAAATCCAAACAGTAACTTCCAACTTTTAAATTCAGTCGATCTTAATAGTGACATTCAATCACAACCACACAGAAAATGGTACTTGGGTGCAATTTCACAATTACCACCCCACGAAATTATGGGAGAAATTTATAGAGCATTAAAGAAAGTTGGTTTTGTAAGTATATGAAATAAACATGAAACAAATGCAATATTTATAAATATTAATATTTTTTTTAAATATAGGAATGGAAATTAACTGGTCCATATCAATTGAGATGTAGAATGCTTGATAGTGGTAGACCAGTAAAATTGGTTTTACAATTATTTAGAGTTGCCGAAAATAGATATTTATTGGATATTAAAAAAATTGAAGGTCAAATTTTTGTATTTTTCGATATATGTAGTTTATTATTAGAAGAATTAAATTTATAATTAGATATCTTTTCCTTTTTTTTTTTAAAGTTAAATAAATAATCAAATTATAAATAATAAAACAAAATTATTGTTATCGCATATTATAATTTTTTTTTTTTTTTTTTTTATTCGTTTTTTTTAGATTTTTGCAAAAATTTTTTTTTTTTTTTTTTTTTTTTTAAAGTTTCTTTTTTTTTTTTTTTTTTAATATTCATAATTATAATTAAAAAAAATGAAAAATAATAAAAGTAATAATAACCAAAAGGTTGTAAAAAAATCAAACCCACCACAACAAAAACAACAACAACAACCAAAACAAAAAGTACAACAAAATAAACCACAACAAAAACAACCACAAAAACCAAACCAAACCAAACCACAACAACAACAACCACAACAAACTAAATCAAAAAAAGAACAAATTCCACCTAAAAAAGCTTTAAAACCAGTTGAAAAAGTAGAAGAGGAAATAGAGGATGTAGAAGAAAATGAAGATACCGAAACCAATAACCCACTTGGTATTGATAGTGAATTATATGAAGATATAACAAAGATTCAACTTGAAATTGATAATATATCAAATAAAGAAATGCAACAAAAACTAAAATTAGATATTGAAAGAGATAGAGCATTTACTCCATTTTTCAATGAAAGAGAAAAATTATTATCATCAATTCCAAACTTTTGGCATAAAGTTATTACCAGCCACCCAATCCTCACAGCTTTAATTACAGGCAAAGACGATGAATTAATTAAGAATTTAACAAACTTTAAAGTTGATGTTATGGATTCAGGAAATGTTAGATTTAATTTTGTAGGTTATTTTTAAATAGATTTTTATAGTAATAGTTTTATTAATATATTTTTTATTTTTTAAAAAGACTTTTAAAAATAATAATTTTATTAAAAACAAATCAATTTGGAAAGAATATGCATTCGATGATCAAGGTATATCAACAACATGTTCACCAATCCAATGGAAAAATGGAAATGTAGGTATAACTAAAAGAAAAAAATTATTTATTATGACACTAATTCTTTATTTTTTTTTTTACATACAGGATATTACAAAAAAAAGAGAAGGAGAAGACCCATCATTCTTTTCATGGTTTGCCGATCAAGATGATTTAGAAATATTTGATATTTTAAAACATGAAATTTGGATGTTCCCAAACGATTTTTATAATAATTAAAATAAAATTTTTTTATAATTTTTATAGGATTTTTTTTAAAAATTATTTTTATTTCTTTATTTCTATTTTTTTTTTTTTTATATTGTTGTTTATAAAAATACAATAACTTTAAACTATAGTAATATTTTGAATATATTAAATATTTTTAAAAATCTTTTCTAAATGCTAATTATTAAAATTAATATTAATAGAACTATATTTATTAGATATTAATATTTAATTATTTTATATTAAATAGATAAAAAGACTTACATGGTGTTTTTAAAAGTTCATTTAAACCGCAACCTGTTAATTTATTTTCGCAACCACTTCTCCAAGAGCAAAAATCTTCCGTACAAGGATTATTATCATCACACGAAACTGCTATATGTATACATCCCCTAACTTTATCGCAAGTATCTATAGTCTAAAGAATAAAAGAAAATAAATATTTAATGTTAACTATTAATATGGTGTTTTAAATTACTTACACATGGATTGTTATCATCACACGAAACTGGTTCATGGACACAACCAGTAGAGTTTGTACAAAAATCATTTGTCTATATAAAAAAGCTTTTTAGTATAAATATAAAAAAAATTAAAAATAAATAAAATTAAAAATATTTACACATATATTGTTATCGCTACATGTTCTGGGTTTAAATATACAACCTTTTCTTCTATTGCAAATATCTATTGTCTATAAAAAATGAAGTTAGTATTTATTTAGAATTTAAGAGTGTTATTAATATAAGTTTTCCTACACAATTATTATAATCTTCACATGCAACTGTTTTTTTATACACACACTCCCCAGTTTCTAAATCGCAATAATCCCTTGTCTAAAATATTTTATATTAGTTTTAAAGTATTTTGGTAATGGTATATAGTTTAATTTACTTACACATGGATTATTATCTGTACAAAAAACATTTACAAAATAACATTTTCCATTTGATGGATCACAATAATTATCTGTACATTTATTAAAATCGTCACATTTTTTTCTAATATGTTGACATCCTAAAATTGGATCAAAATAATCATCTGTACATAAATTATCATCATCACAATTTGAAATAGTATTATCGTTATTCGTTTCATTTTTCTTTATTTCATTTACATTATTTTCAATTTTATTTAAAGTTGAAATATGATGATTGTTATTGTCATTATTATTATTATTATTATCATTATTATTACTATTATTATTATTATTATTATTATTATTATTATTATTATTATTATTATTATTATTTTTATTGCTATTGATATTGTTGTTGGAGTAATGGTTACTATTGATGTTTCCGTTTACTCTTTCATTTAAACTATTAATATTATTTATGAATGATGTTGTACATTTTTTTTCATTGCATTTTAAATTATTTGATTCTCCACCTAATTTTAAAAATAAATTAAATTAATATAATATTATTTGCACTTGTTTATCTTGTTTAATTATACTTTTTACAATAAATATAATTATATTTAAATTTAAAAAAACCAATTTGAATTTGAATTTCATATTTGTTGAGTTCCTTTAAAAATGGAATTAAAATTTTATCCCTTTCTTTATTTTTTAAATCTTTTTTTTTTTTTTTTTTTTTTATTTAATTGTTTTATACTTTTTGTTTTCCCCAAATCTACTAATTATTACTATTGCTGTAAATTTGCCAATTATTACTTCATAATTATAAAATTTTTAAAAAGAAAAAATTTTAATAAAAGATAAATATAAAATATAATTATTTAAAAAAGATAAAATAAAAAAAAAACAAAAAAAAAAAAAAAAAAAAAAAAAAAAGATAAAAAGATAAAAAAAAAAAAACCTAAATAAACACACAAATAATAGTTAGTTTCGATTTATTTATATTATTTTGGCACTAAGCACATAATAATGGACTTTAAACAATTTTTTTTTTTTTTTAATATAAATCAATATAAATCAAAATAAAATTAATAAATATTATATTTTATACCAAATAATTAAAATTAAAAACTACTACTACTACTACTACAATTAAACCCTTTACATTCTAACCCCCAACTCACCTAATAAAATAAATAAAGAACAAACCCCCAAACCACTTTTTTTTTTATAAATAAAAATAAATAAAAATAAAAAATATAGTAATAATAATAATAATTATTATTATTATTATTATTATTGTTATTATTATTATTTTTAAATTAATGATAATATTAATAATAATAGTTTAATTTTAATTTATCTTTAATCACTTTTTTTTTATATAAATGTTTTTTTTATAATATTGTAGTTTAAAATACAATATCAATCTACCAAACGAAACCATCACTTTTTGAAAATATTTTATATTTTTTCGGTATATACATATAATAAATAAATTATAAAAAAAAAAAACAAAAAATATATTCATCATTAATTTTATGAAAATGATGAAAATTAATTTTTATTTAATTTTTTTTTTTTTTACCTCTTTGTTTCTTTTTTTAATAAAAAATATTAAAAACCTATTTCCCTTTTAAATGAAAAACCTATTTAATAATTTAAAAAACTATTTATAAAATTGAAAGAAAAATAAAAAAGATTATATTTTTTAAAAAGAAAGGTTTCTTTTTTTATTTTTTAAAAATAAGGATTATCTTTATTTTTAAAGTTTTTTAATTATTAATTAATTAATAATTTTTTGATGTTTATTTGTTATTAGTTGTTTTTATTTCAAGCCATTCTAAATTCCTATGTTGTTTTTAACAAATTTGTTCTATAATTGAAAGTTGTTGTTTTTTTTTTATTTATTTATTTAGTGTTTATTTAAATAAATATTAAGTGTCCATGTTGATTTTGGTTTTGTATTTGTTGAGGTTGTGGTTGTTGTGGTTGTTGTTGGTTGTTGTTTTTGTTGTTGTATTGTAGTAAAGGGGTGGTGATGATTGAGAAGTGTCGTTACAAATAAAAATAGTGCAGCTTATTAATTGTAACAAGTTTTTAAATCTTTAATCTCTAAAAGAATTTATTATACATTAATATATATACTATATATTTATTTTGATAAATTATTATTTATTGTTTTTAATAAAAATAAAAAAAAGTTATTTTTTAGTTATGAATATTATAATTATTTATTATTATTATTATTATTATTATTATTATTATTATTATTATTATTATTATTATTATTATTATTATTATTACTATTACTATTATTATTAATTATCGTGTTAAATTCTAATATTATCTTTAAAAAAAAAAAAACGATACTATTAACTATCAAAATGATTGATACCATTAATTATTATATACTATATATTATTTAAATGACAATTGGATAATCATCTTTTTTTTGGATTGAAAATCTGTCAGAGTTTGAAAGAGGTAATAACCAGGGTGATACTTTAACAACCTCTAAAACACATGGTTGCCCTTCAAATGTTTGATAAAGTGTAACTGCACCCCATATAGCTGTTAAAGAACTAGAAATAAAATAAAAAAATAAGATTAGAAGATGGTAGTAATTAATGATGATAATTATGATGTGATATGATAATGATGACGTTATAAGCGATGATGATTCCAATAGATTTGAGATTTTAAATAAATGAAAATATTTAAATGTTACATAACACAACAAAAACAACGATAGCTAAAAAAAAAAAACTACTGTGGATAGTCATAACCAAACAATTAATGAGTATTTACCTTTTAAGGCATCTAAGAATAAAGATTGACTCTTTTTTTTTAAAATTTATTAATTTTGTTTCTGATACTAAACCACCTATTTGACCATAACATCTTGATAACATATCTTCTATAATTTGTTGTACTTTTTCAATTGTTATTGGATTTGAAAAAAAATTACTATATATATTTAAAAATTAAATGTAATTAATAGATCTGAATTAAAAAAATTAATTTAAAGTAAAATAAAACAAATAAATGAATATTAATAATAATATCCAGTAAACAAAAAAGAAAATAAATAAATAGAATAAATAGAATAAATAGAAAAAAAAAAAAAAAAAAAAAAAAGGCAAATGGACCCCTTTTATTAAAAAAAAAAAAAAATTTGGAGGAATTGTTTGTTTCCCCCCTTTTGGGGCAAAAAGGTTTTCTTTTGGGTTGGGAAGGGTTTTAAAAAGGGGAATTTAATTTTTCTAAAGCCTGGTTTTTTTTGGTTTTTTTGGTTTTTTTTACCCCGGGGGGGGGGGGGGGGGGGGGGGTTTTTTATTTTTTAAAAACCGAAAAGGTTTCCCAAAAGTTTTCCTTTTTTTTGTTTTTTAAAAAGGGGGGCCCCGGGGTAAAAAATAATTAAAATCCCCCGTAATTTTAAAAATTTTTTCGGGTTTTTTTTTTAAAACGAGGTCTAAAAAAAGGTTTTTTTTTTTTTTTTTTTTTTGGAAATTTTTTTTAAAAAAAAAAAAAAAAAAAAAAAAAAAAAAAAAAAAAAAAATTAAAAATTTAAAAAAAAAAAAAAAAAATTTTAAAAAAATTATTATTTTCATTTGATTGTTGTTACTTACTTTTAAAAGATAACTTCTCTAAAATTAAAAAATGGCCGGTAATATATCTAATCAATAACTATATAAATCAATCAATCAATCTTTGAAAAATTTTAATCTTGATGTATAGTTACTAATATTTTCTTTGTTTTTTTTTTAAAACCAATATTAAATATAATATGGAAATAATTTAATATGAATAATCATTAATAATAATAATATCATAAAAAAACAATAATAATAATAATATAAATAGATAAAAAAAGAGATTTAGAAGAAACTGATAATAATAATAACAATACTGAAAATGAAGAACAATCAAAAAAGAAATTAAAAGTTGAAGAACCAGAAAATAAACAAGTAGATGATAAAAAAGAAGAATCTAAAGAAGAAAAAGTTGATGATAATAAAAAAGAAGATGATAAAAAAGTAGATGATAATAAAAAAGAAGGTGAAGGTGAAAAGAAACCATTATTCTCATTTAGTTCAACACCAGGTTTTTCATTTGGATCAACACCAGGTTTTTCATTTGGATCAGGCTCGTCATTATTCCCAACTAGTTTTTCAGCAGCCTCAAATACTAGCCCATTTTCTTTTAATTTAAATTCAACAACATCTAGCTTCACTTCAGGTTTTTCAAAGCAATCATCAGAATCATCAGTTTCTGGCGAATCAAACACTACTGAAGGTGAGCCAACCAATGGCTGTGAAGAACCTGAAAACTCTTCATTCAAACCAATCATCCAAGCTCAACAAATTGATACCAAAACTGGTGAAGAAGATGAGACTGTTTTATTCTCTGTATGAACTTAAAAAATATCAACATCTATTTCTATTATTTTAGTATTAACTCTCTTTTATTTATCCTTTTTCATTATAGGTTAGAGCAAGACTTTATATAGTTCAAGATCAACAATACAAAGAAAGAGGCACAGGTGTAGTTAGAATTAATAAAAATATTGAAAATAAATCTAGAATTAGTAAGTATTAAAAATATCAATTCATCAAAAACCACCCCTCTAATATATTTTTTATGTATATATAGTAATGAATGTAGACGGCTCAAAGAAAGTTATTTTAAATACAAATATTTTTGGTAAAATGAGCATCGATGCACCAAATGAAAAGTCGATTAAATTTATAGGTTTTGATAGCGAAAACCAATTCAAATTTGCCACATTCCTTTTAAAACTAGGAAAGGCTGAAGATGTCAAAACCTTCATTAATAAAGTTAAAGCCCAAATAGAGGTAGCCAAAGAATTTGAAGAAAAAGAAAAGAAAGAAGAAAAGAAAGAAAATGAAAATAAAGAAGAGAAAGAAGAAGAGGAAAAGAAAGAAGAAGAAAAGAAAGAAGAAGAGAAAAAAGAATAAAAAATTATAATTATACTTTTAAAAAAATAAATAAAAAATTTTAAAAAAAAACCTATTGCAGTTTTATTAATCTTCTTTTTTAACAATATGGAAATCATTTGAACAGTATTGATTGTATAGATCCATTTTCTTGAACTTAAATGAGATTGCTTCTAAATTGGAAAAGGTTTCACTGTTTGCTTGTAAATTATATTTTGGAATTAAATAGTTGAACAATTCGAATGCTTTATCGATGTTATTTGATTGGCAACATGCATTTATCAAATAGTTTACTGTGTTGATATTTGGTTTAAAATTTGATACTACTTGGTCTTGTAATTTTGATAATAATTCAAAGTCAGTTTCGGTCGAGAGGGATTCTACCATTAGTTTATTGGGTCTCATCATAACATTTTCAAAGAGATCCATCATTTCATCAAGTCTGTTGCTTTTGCCCAATTGAATAAAAATTTGATTAAATGTTTGTGTAGTATTGGCTATCTTTCTTTCATGGGTGTCAAATTCTTTTAATAATTGTATAGCCCTATCTGTTTGGTGTACCTTTAGATATCCCTCAACTAAGATTTGTATTGTGTTGTGGTCCTGCTTTTTGATGATCATTTCATTGTAAACGGTCTCCATTAATTTAAGGTTTCCTTGTCTTGAAAAACAGTTTAAAATTGAATTTAGGATGGCTATATCGATATCTTGTTGTTGTTGCTTTGGTGAATTTTTTAAATAGTTGTATGCCTTCTCTCCCTGGTTTGAATTTGAATAACCCAAACAAATGAGTTTTGTAATTTTATTTTGATTGGGTTTGATTTGGTTCTCTTGTTCCATCTCTCCAGATAGTTTTAATAGTTGTTTGATATCACCATTATTTGACAATGATTCCATATAGAGATAATATATATTTTCGAGTTTAGATTTTTGATGAAAATCTGAAAATCTATCTTTATTTGATTGAGTAAAGTCAAAAACCTGCTTAACCATAACATTGTTACCCCTTAGTAAATACTCTGACATCAATGATTCGACTTGATCCAGTGAAAATTTAAAACTGTCTATATCTTGAACATTTTCGATTGTATACTGATTGATGCCGTTCAATAGTAATAATTTCTTAATTATTTCTTTAACTCTTGATTCTTCATCTGTTAATTTACCACAAACTCGAATTAATGTTGCTAATGTTAGATTTGCACGGTCAATTGGTTTGTTGCTCTGTATTTCTATACTTGCATTTTTTAACTCTTCTTTTAAATATTCATCTTTTAATAAATTAAAATAATTTTTGAATGTATTGTTAAATGTACTGTTATTTGTGTTAATGGTGCTACTATTTGTACCTATTGCTGTATTGCTGGAATTGGTTTCAATTGGTTTTTCATATTTATTTACTTTTTTGTCAATTCTTTTGGTTAACCAATTAAATGATTGATTTTCTGGGTTTTCATCATCATAATAATCCTCACCTTTTTCCTTATTATTATTTAAAGTTGATGATGAATTATTTTTTATTGTACAGTAATTTCTAATATTTCTTTTATTATTATTTCGTAAAAATCTGATCATTTTTTATTTAAAAAACAAAAAAAAAATAAAAAAAATAAAAAAAAATAAAAAAATGAAAAAATTAAAAAAAAAGAAATTTAAAAAAGTTAAGTATTTTGATGTGATAGATAATGATTGAGATTGAGTTAGGGTCGTATAGGACCGCGAATTTATATTTATATTTTATTATGGTAAAAATACAATTTCAAATTATAATAAAGAAATAATACCTCCAAAATCAAATATCTGTTTAAAATTAAAAAAATAAAATTATATTTTAAGGTAAAAAATATTAAACCTTTTATAAATACCATTTGAAGGGGTTTATTCATAAATATGGCACTTCTTTGAAAAGAGAGCTCATTAACAACCACATCATTGGCATGGTGATATCGAGAATTCTTTTGATTGAGATAATGGTGTTGATTTTTTGAAAACAAAAAACTAAAAAAAATAAAATAAAATAAAATAAAAATAAAAGAAATCGATTGTTTGATTGAGATAAAATAAGTATGTGAACTAACCAGCAAAGGTTATTCACATTATTTATTTGAAAAAATTATACATTTATGATTATAAATGTTGATATTAATCTTTTTTTTGTTTTTTTTTTTGTTTTTTTTTTTTGTTTTTTTTTGATTAAAAGTATAAAGTTAATTAAAGTTTATACCCAAAAAATTATAAGTATTACATCCTGATTTTTTAATTATTATATTATTTTCTTTTTTTTTTTGATTTTCTTTTTTTTGATCTTTTTTTTTTTTGTTTTTTTTTTTTTTTTGTTTTTTTTTTTTTTTTTTTTTGTTTAATAAATATAAAAAAAAAGAAACAATTGATCATTAACGATTTATGTTTCTATTTTGAACAGAAATTTGTGGTTGAAATGATTGCATTTCAGAAATTGATGGTAATTGGACTTGTCTTTGACGACTATTATTATTGGTATTATTATTGGTATTACTGTTAATATTATTATTATTATTGAATCTTTGTGAAATTTGATTGTATTTTTCGAAAATATTAAATACATAAGAGTATTTATTTTTGATTGTATATGAATTTGTTTCAGATTCGTGATAATGAAATTGATCATAGATGAGTTTAACGCATTTTTGGAAATAACTATCGTTAATATCTACTCTGCAATAAAAAGTTAAAGTTGAGTTCCATGGTTTTTGTAAAATTAATAATGATAAATAAATGCAAGCTGCTGCAATAATTGATGGGGGATAGTTGATTAATTTATAATCTAAAAGGGATAATTCACCAAACAACTATAGAAGAAAAAAAAAAAATTAATATTAATATTTAAAACAAAAAATATAAAAAATATAATTTTAAATACACTTACATGAGCAACATGTGAAATTTCGGAATCACCAACAGCAATTAAATATTTACCCATAAAAAATTTAGTAGTTGGAGTGGATAATGTGAAATCTAAAGCCTTTAACATTTTGAACTCACACTCTAAAAGTTGTTCGGTAGTAAAGAAATCACCAGAAGAATGGATGATAAATGAACTTGGTACACCTATGTACTCTTCGAATTGTGTGGCAATAAAGAAAGCGCAGGCACCAACCATTTGGAATTCATTTCTTGAAACCTTTTCAACAGAGAGGTAACGATCGAGCAAATTAATGGCCAAATAGATGGTTTCACTTTTTACACTATTTTCAGCACCAATATCGACGATCCAGTCAATTAAGAGTGCTCTCATGCATGGCTTGAGATCCTTGTGAAATGACATATAATCCTTTGGTTGAGTTTTCCATTGACGAAATCTTGCATTGTCAAAGATATCTTCGGTATAATCGCCACATAACAACGGACATTTACCATAATGAGCTCCAATATCGATGTGTGGAATATGTGGAAGGTCAGCGTACATATGATTAAGTAAAAATTGTTTGAAATTTTGATTTCTACCAACGTGGTTATTTTGAATATTACTTTCAAATTGGCTTCTTATCTCTAATGTTAAATTTGTATTTAAATTTGAAACTTCAGTTAATGTTGGATCGGTATTGAAATTATTATTTAAACTGTGATAATTTTCTAATTGATAAATTTTTTCAGCATTTAAAAAATTATTAATTGAAACTATTCTATTTGAATTGTTGTTATTATTATTATTGTTATTATTATTATTAGTATTGGCAGTGTTATTGGTATTGTTATTAGTATTAACATTATCGGTGTTATTTTTTGTTTCTTGATTATTATTATTATTGGTGTTATTTTTATTACTATCACTATCATTGGTCGATTTAATAATATTTTCATTTTTTGATGTTTTATTTGAAAAACTATTATCAATAGTATTATTATTATTATTATTATTATTATTATTATTATTATTATTATTATTATTATTATTATTATTATTATTATTATTATTATTATTAGTATTTGGTGAATGTTTAGATGGTAAATTTTCACCGATATTTAAACTTTCAGTTCTTGAAATATTAACATTTGGAATGGTAATTTTAGATGAACTAGTATTATTATTATTATTATTATTGATAGTAGTGATTGAACTAATAACTTTAGATTGAATGGGTTTTGCCATTGAATTTTTGTTATTAACTTCATTGTTATTTACATTCTATTAAAAAAATAAAAAATAAAAAATAAATATTAATATTAATAACCCAATTAAAATTTAAATTTTAAAATACATACTTGAATATTTTGTTGATGA